CCTTGTTGGAGATTTCTTTTTAAACCCGTTAATAAAAATTAATAAAGAAAGAAAGAATTTGGAAGGGGAGAAAAACCTTTTGAGCACCACACCAAGCAACAAATAGATATATTCTGTTTCCCATTTTGACCACTTATGAGAGAAAGCGAAGATGGAGAAGAAGCAGCCAGATGGGGTGGGTGTAGGAGCTCTGATGAAAAGGAAGACAGAAAAAAAGGGAGGGGGAGGGATGCCCGAGGCCGGGGCAGCTAGGCTAGCACCGGGCACCGACTTCTGGGGGCTTCAACTCTGACTAACCTTCCTGAGGACTAGAGACAGGCCTCTCTGCTTGAAAAGAGACCCTGGCTGCCTTTCTATTAAGGTTTCCAAAACCACAATACTGAGGTGAGGCTTGAATTTCCCTTAACAACCAGAAAGTGTTGCACACACATGCAAAGAATGACCACCTATAATGTTCTGCAGAGGTAATCCAGGAGGTGTATGCTGATTTAATATCTATTGCCTAAAATCCCCTCTAGTATTCACATGCTGTCAGGGTGGCTGGTTTTTATTTTTTATGTGAGACTTTGCTTCATTGCATTTGTTTGAAAGTTTTATTGGAAGCCACGGTGATTTCTATAGTTTTAGGTTCCAAAAATATTCAAATATGTTTCCTTTTCCAGTTAGAGCCCAATGGTTTATGAAATAGGAAGAAGAAGGAAAAAAAAACCCTCAAATATATTGATCTGGATGCTGAATAATACTCTCGTTTTTCAAGGTAATGGGCCTATTTTGGCAGGTAAGGAAAGAGTTACTATTGCAATCCTCTGGTTAAGTAATTACTGTATTTCAAACTCAGGCTTGGCTAATTCCCCTGTACACTGGAAGAAATAAAAGAGAAAGATAGATGGCCTAAACAGGGGCCCAATGTTCGTGGCACCTTTGCTAGGATCTACAGTCCAGGACTGTCCTCTACTGAAAAAAGCAATGAAATAGAACTGAGGGGTGACATAAAATAATGCCTGGGCCACAAAACACAATTATCTCACATTAAAGAACATACAAAGAGCCGGACGTTGGTGGCGCATGCCTTTAATCCCAGCACTAGGGAGGCAGAGGCAGGGGGATCTCTGTGAGTTCGAGGCTAGCCTGGTCTCCAGAGCAAGTGCCAAGATAGGCTCCAAAGCTACAGAGAGAAACCCTGTCTCCAAAAACCAAAAAGAAAAAAGAAAAAGAACATGGAAAGAGGTGTTTCTCCAGCTTCACTTATTGCTGTATTTACTCTCAAACAAAAAAATAATAATTTATACCTGGAAGGCAACTCTGCAACCATCTGTTCACCCACGGACAGAGAATGAAACAGCGGCTGGTAAGTTTGTTTCTCTGGTGTTGTGTGACTGCTTTGAAATACCTCACTGTTCACTTCTGAGATTTAGACCTACCCTCCAGCTTGTGAAAACCCTTGAGGTGGTACATCGCACAAGACACTTTTGCTTATTTGAATTTTAACTCATTTCTACTTTTCATTTTCTCCCTTGTTTACCACCACCCCCAACTGATTCAACATATACATTCTGCCTTGGTGCTTTTAAATAATATTTCACAATGGTGAGTTATACAAATATTTGAAGGTTGGCAGGTTTTACATCAAAATTTGTAGTCAACGCATTTTCCAGCTACATACTTGCCTAGTTTAGTAATATTTGATAGTCACTACTGCTTCTTGCCTCTGTTTTGCTTTAGTCTATTCAAGTTCGAGAATACAAAACAAAGGTCAACAGACTCAGTGCCCGGTGAGGCTCCAATCCCAGGTTCACAGACAGCTATTTTGCTTTGTCTTCATACTGTCCGGAGGATGAAATGGCCTGTTGGAGTCTCTTGCGTGAAGACACTAATCCCATTTATTAGTGTGACTGCCAGTGGGTTCCCCTTCTAGAGGATCCCCCCTAATGCCCCTACACTGGGCAGCAGGATTTCAACATATGAATTTAATAAGGAAAAATCTGTTTAGTCTTTTAAATTACATGACATATAGACACTCCAAGTAATCATGAAATACGATTTTCAAAATGATTTTCCTTTTCATTGTCAATATAGCACATGGCCCAAACTCCCCTTCTTATAGAAAAGTCACCTCTATTATATTATTCCTAGGGTTGGCTGGGTTTATTTCCTAGGATTTGCTAGATTTTTAATTTATAAGCTGTCACAACGCATAAACGTGGTTATTGAGAATCTTGGCTTCCACAGTATAACCTTGTTTGTGGTGACTTTAAGTTTCATCTATCATTGTATTTTCCTGAAATTCTGGCAGAACAATCTGGAATTCTTGCAATTTCCCTCCAGCCTTCATGAACAAAAATTGTATCCTAATGAAAATGCTAAAAATCTCATGTCTGCTTCTTACAAATGGAAATTAAAGGTATAGGTCCATGAAATAGTTACAAAATAGAGGCTCTCATCTGAATTTGCTGTCCCTCCTGTTGGTTTTCTGTCTAACATGTGTATCAAGGTGTTGCTTCCTTCATGTCTCCTCCTGCCTCCTCCCTCTATCACTTACATGGGAGATAAGTGAAATGTTGGTATCTAAATCAAATCATGTCTTCAGTTTTTATCCCTTTTATTTCTTTCATTAAGAGAAACTACAGCTTTAAAACATACCAATCTTCAACAAAGCTCATTGCCTATAAAATCATGCTCATGGAATCCTCAATGAGGGCCCCTGAGAATGCAGCTTTCTGAGGTTTTCAGCTGGCAGTCTCCTGCTCACAAAACTGCTCTGGGGGAGCTCTGCATCGTGAATTCTCACCTTTTCTCTGTGCCCTTCCTTCCTCTGGGTATTCCTCTGGCTCATCCAAGTGCACATCCTTCATCACAGCTATGCAGACCCACACATGGCTGTACACAGGACATAAGCTTCGGACGGTTTATTTTCCCAAAAATCAGAACATTCTGACAACCTATCACTCCTTATTTATGAAGCAAACATAGGATAAAGCTTGCTGTGCCAAAGGGCTCATGGAAACTCACCATTCAGTCAAGAATATCGCCTGCTGGGGTTCCAGTGATCTCCCAGACCTAAGGCATCAAACATCTTTGGTGCAAGGTTAGTCTTTCACTTCTCCAAATTTTTGGTCTTTCATTTTAATGCATCTTACCTAACTCAAATGAACTAATATTGTGGGTGTCCTTTGGCTGCAGAATTAGATGAGAAAAGATTAAATGGGTATAGTATATGTTGGGTACCTTTTATCTGAAATGGCTGAGACCCAAAAACGTACCATTTCTGATGTTTTTCTAGATTTTGTATTTCTATATGTATAGTAATGTATCCATTCCTGACACATCCTTTTAATCCTCCCTGGTGGTAAATGCCTTTAATCCCAGCTCTTGAGAGGCAGAGACAGGTGGTTCTCTGTGAGTTCTAGGCCAGCCTGATCTACAGAGTGAGTTCCAGGATAACCAGGACTATTTCACAGCAAAACCCTGCCTCAGAAAATTAATTAATTAATTAATTAATTAATAATAAAAACAATCCTCCCTATAGCCAGAAGCTTTTCTGTGTCCTGCCTGGTCCCTCAGCTGCTTATAAAATAATCATGCAGAGTCTTAATAATAGTTATAATTGTTTGACCAATGACTCGGGCTTATTACAAACTAGCTCTTACATTTAAATTAATCCATTTCTATTAATCTGCATGTCATTACATGGCTTGTGGCTTACCCGTGATGCTCTTACATATTTCTCCTCTGGCAGCTGCTGGTGTCTCTCTCAACTCTGCCTTCTTTCTCCCTGTATTTAGTTTGGCTTTTACACCTAACTACATTCTACCCTGCCATAAGCCAAAGCAGCTTTATTCATCAACCAACAAAAAAGCAACACATATTTGCAGCCCATAGAAGGACACCCCACATTATTTCTCCTTTTTTGTCTAATTAAAAAGGAAGATTTTTAACTTCACATTGTAAAATTGCATTGAACAAAATAGGTATCAAGCAAGAATTACAATTATGATATTTAGTCTGTTTGTATTCAGAATAAAGATACTCTATCCTATGTTTTTGAGTCTAAAGTTTTATATCTAACTTATCTTTTATCATAACTAAGGAAAGCTATAATTATAACTATCTAGTCTTCAACTCCATCAAAGACCCTAGAAAGATATAGTATTACCTAAGTAAACAGAAAGTGCACTGTAAACAACTTCCAAAAGCTCTAGAAATAACAGAAATCTGCCTGCCTGGATAGTAACCCAAAGTTTTTCTATAACATTGGGGCATCCATCTTCAGCCTACAGGCCTAAAGTGTCTGGTAGATTTCTCGGTGAAGCAGAAAATTTGAAGGACTGTCTCACTTATTTTGGCAAAATTCGTCAGTTGCTTTCTTCTGTGCCCTGTAGAATATCTGGCAGACTCTTTCATGAAGCAAGCACTCTGGAGGACCATCCTATCTTGTTTTGGCAAATTCAGCAGTCATTTTCCTGTGGGACCTGAGTGTCCAGTTTATGTAACATAGTGTCAAGCTTTCTAGTCAAGTGCAGTTTCTTGCTCAAATGGCTAGTCTTGCCACATTGAAAACAAACTGCATAAGGAGCTTCTCGACCATCATCTTCTTGGAGTAATTGGTGCTGCCAGGAGCAGACATGTCTCACTGTCAAAAAAAAGTCTAAGTTCTTAAAACATTTTAAATGCCATATCCTGTAGGTCTTTGAAGTGTTTGAAGATTACCTATCCATTTGAAATATATCTCTGCATATCTATAAAACATAACTAACATGTCTCTAACTTTGACTATTATAGGTAACCATTAATTTGTGTTTCTTAACTATACATTACAGTTTTAAATTTTCTGCATAAACATAATACCTTAACTGAGAGTAGAAATATGTATATATATATATATATATATATAATAACAAAATTAAGCTTAAATTTGTGTCAGTATATCAAAATCCATACCAATGTGAAATATTTTGAGATTAACAGTTTTTTAAAATTAAGTAGATTCAATAATCTACCTTTTTCATCATTTCTATATCATATCCCCCTTTTCTTTAGAAAGAAATTGATTATGCCCATCAACCATTTATAACCAACCCCCTTTAAATGAAAACTAACATTCATAATTGATATTTTGGGAATTTGGGCATAGTTTTCTATACTATTTTCTGCTGATTTGGGACGCTGGTAATCTTATGGGGATCCTGAGAAAATTTAGAATTATGGTCATGTCCTACCTGGGGTATTTTGTATAGTTGGTCCATCTCAGCCTTGAAGCTGCTGTGGATGTTGGATAACCTGGACCCTTGTTCCCATCAGAGACCTGTCAGGGCCGGGGTCTTGCTCGATCAAACCATATTAACCTGAAATGACTCCACAGCTTCAAGTGATGTGGGAAGTCCTTCTGTACTCTGCGAATGTGTATTGCTTTTATTGGTTGATGAATGAAGCAGATTTGGTCTATGGCAAGGCAGAATATAGTTATGTGGGAAAGCCAAACTAAATTCAGGGGAAAAGAAGGCAAGAGAGAGATGCGGCAGCAGCCACCAGAGGAGAAAGATGTAAGAACATCACTGGTTAGCCACAAGTCATGTTTATGACACGACACACATAATCAATAGAAATGGGTTAATTTAAAAGTAAGAGTTAGTTAATAATAAGCCTGAGCCATTGGCCAAACAATTAAAATTATTATTAAGCCTCTGAGTGATTATTTTAAAAGCAGCTGAAAGACCAGGTGGGACACAGAAAAGCTTCCAGCTCTACATCCCATAATCATGTACCAGATCCCTATTTGTAGGCACTGTGCTAAATGCTAGAGGGGAAGAGTGACCCTTTGTAATACAGATTCTTCCAGATTTTTATTATCTTTCTAGGCATATTGAGATATCTTGGATATGGGGTCCAAGTCTACACATAAAATTCCCTCATGTTTCAATTTAACTCCAGAGCCTAATGATAATTCTATATAATACTTTTAGTGCACCTAATTTTACCTGTGGAATTTTTCTATCATACAGGCATTCAAAAAGTTTCAGATTTTGGAACATTTTGGGTTTCAGGTTTCCATATTAGAGATGCTAACCCTGTGTATGTAAATATCTAAATCCTGCTCTGAGGTTACTCTAGTGGCTATGGCAGTAACAGATAACAGAACATTCATTCCAGAGATAGGACACAAATCTGTCACCAGAGACATTCTGAGACTTCCCGGTGATGAAAGCAGGTTAGTCTGGAATATACAAATGTCTTCTGTGACAATCCCTGTCACCAGAGTTACTCTCATTTTCCCCCTAGGCTTTTAAGGAACTTTTCCTGTAACTTTGTTATAGTACTTACTATTATTGCACTATATCTTATATCTTCATTTATTTCTATTTTATGTGTATGAGTGCTTTACCTGACTGCATGTCTGTGTACCATATGCATGACTGGTGCCCACAGAGGTCAGAAGAATTTTAATGCAGACATATGCTTTCATTTGCATTAAATCTTAATATACTAAAAATGTACTTGCTTACTTCCATTGGGAAACTGATCATTCTCTATGTAGACAAAATAAAGTCTACATTTGTAAACTTTAAATTTTTTTTCTTCTACCAGGCATGGTAGTACATGCCTTTAATCCCAGCCCTGAGGAGGCTGAGGCAGACATACCTCTGCTATCTCTTTTAGTTCCAATCCAGCCTGCTGTATGTATTGAGTTCCAGGTCAGCCAGGGCTACATAGTGAGACACTGTCTCAAAATAAATAAATAAATAAATAAATAAAACCTTTCAATCAAGATGACTAGAAAATCAGGGAACAAGTGGGCATGGTGACACACGCCTGCAGCATTAGCACTAAAGATGCAGAGCTGAGTGGAGTATTACAAGTTCAAGGGCAGTGAGCTCCAGGTCAGGCCGGGCTGCACTGTGAGACCTTATCAGAAAGAAAAAAGAAAAAAAGAAAGGAGGGAGGGAGGGAATGGGAGGGAAGGAGAGAAAGTTAGAGAACAGATATATTCAAAAGCACTTATTTTAATTGTTCAATGTTTTCCCTTACTAGGCCTGATTTTTTGTTTGTTTGTTTGGTTGGTTGGTTGGTTGATTGGTTGGTTTTATTTAATTTTTGTGTTTTTTTCCATATAAGTGATACATGTGCGCCCTCTAGTGGAACTTCTACTCAAGAATGAAAATTATTTTGGCGGGAGGGGCAGGGTGTTCAAGCTGAAGATCAGAGAAGCAAAAGCAGTCAGCCAGACACCAGAGTTTTCACCTCTCCACAAGCCCTCAGCATGGCTGGAGACTGAACACTGAACGCTAGCTCTGAGCCCCTGCTCCTGTCTCATATACCTCTCTACTGCTGGAATTAAAGCCATGAGCTCTTCAACAATGGAAATTCTACAAAGACGATAATATCCAAGGAAAGGCACGGAAGAAAAAAGAAAATGTCAAAGAACAAACTGTTACCAGATTCCACAGTACAAATCTAATGAAAAGAGAAATTAAGATCCTAAATTTAAAAGTAATAGATAAGAGTAGCCAAATGACAAATTTAATGTGACTTTATCTTGGATATTCAAGTGCAGGTGTCAAGTAAGCAGGCAAAAGTTCAAGGAAAATGTCCCCGAGGAAGGATAGAGAAACAGCCTGAGAGTGCCCCAACTTCTGGAGATGGGGGAAAGGGGAAAGAAGATGACTGGGGAGAGGCCTGTACATATGGAGAGCCAGCAGAGATTGGACACCTAACGCCCAAGAAAGAACATGCTTCAAAGACCATCCGACTTAACTTTCCTACTGCTTGGATAAAACGCTACGACCAAGGTGCTGTAGTCAAGAAAACATTCATTTTGCTTACAGTCTCAGAGTATTTGAATCCGTGGTGGCAGAGCAAGGACCAGCCGAGAACTCACATCTTCATCCACAACCGTGAGTCAGAGAGAGGTGGGTGGAGAGGAAACAGGAGAAAGGGGGGGGAGGCAGCAAGAGACAGAGACAGAGACAGAGAGAAACTGGGAATGACACCAGCGTTTTGAAACTTCAAGTCTACTCCTAGTGACATCATTACCTCCTTTAAGGAGGTGACACCCCCTAATCTCCCTCAAACAGTCCCACCAACTAGCCACCAAGTATGGAGCCTATGGGAACCATATTCTCATACAAACCACCACAAAGATGGAAATCACTGAGAATGGCAAGGAATCTCAGTGGAGTGGTAGAACAGAAGCAGGCTGGAATGGATCTGAGAACAGAAACAGTGACAGTGGCAGGCGGCATTTATAGGAGCTTTGCTCCAAAAGGTGCTTGCACTTCAGACAGAAGCTACAGGAATGTGTGGTAAAGGGAAAATAAAAAGAGAGGGACTTTTGCTGAAGAATTAGGATGTGGGATGCATCGAACTATATTTTCCAAAGATTTTTAATATGTTGGGACTCCTGTATTTTTCAAAAATCATGTCCCGAAATGAAAATTGCCAAGCTGGTGTAGAGAAAAAAAAAAAAAAAAAAACAGCTCTCATATTACAGGGAGTAAAAGTTTATTCTGGAGACATTTTGAGTGATCATGGCCCGGAACACAGATTTGGGTTACCCCAAGTTCCACGTTCTGACGTGGAAGCAGTTTCATGAAGTTTTTATATTTTACAGAACAAAGAGAGTCATAGATCAAGGCAGATTTAAAATACATTGGTGGGCTCACCAGAGAGACAGGTACAGTGGCATGGTGGTGGGCATTAAATAGTCTTAAATGTTATTTGATGGTATTCTTTGCTTTTGGATTGGCAGAAGCAAGTGTTCTGCTAAGCCAATAGATAAACTTTTATCTATTGTCACAAGATGTTAGTTCCAATACAGTGTGGGGCAAGGAAGGGCTATTCTAGAAGGCTAAAACTAGCCCAAGACGAGGTAATTTGCTTCTGAACCTGCACATTCCCAATCTCTTGACACTACTGAGATTCCAGTTGGTTAATCAGTCTCTGGAGACAGAGTCCTTTCAGGAGTTTTTCACACACAGCCAGACACAGCTTCTCTTCAGGGATTTTTATTCACAGTGGGGTGCAGTTCCTCAGAACAGCATATGCTTAGTATGTACAAGGCACTGGATTTTATTCTCAACACATAATAGGGAAAGAAGGAGGTAAAGGAGATGGAGGAAGAGGAGGAGGATAAACGCTGTATCCAGGCAAGTCTATGGTCAGTGCTGGGGGCAGACAAATAGGGCAAGTTCTTGGCTCTGCAGACATTCATAGGAATATTAGTCAAATAATTACAGTGCACTATGTGAACCAAAGAAATGTGCGCTTGGAGGAAAGTGGCATTAATACTGCCTTAGAGAGACTGAAGAATCCATTGAGCTAACATTTCAGCTCAAGAAGAAGCTTCTAAGACTGCCCATGTAGGAGACTGGAGGAGAGGGGAATGCAGTGCCAACAACATCTATAAACACAGGAAACACTGCTCACATCTGCATATGTTGAGACACATTTGCAATTATAAGGGGAGACTGGAGATACACTTTTAGCAGTCTCTAGAAACACCTTCCATTGCCACTGTATTGGAACTAACATCTTGTGACAATAGATAAAAGTTTATCTATTGGCTTAGCAGAACACTTGCTTCTGCCAATCCAAAAGCAAAAGCAAAAGCATAGAGGAGCCTGTTTTCTAAAACCCTGTGTCCCCATTCTACTTAGTTGACATTGCTCTAATTACTCTAGACTGTAGTGTGCTTTCCTCCATCTCCACCCTGACCCCTAGGTTGCATGATGGATCTCGAGTCTTTTGCTCAAGGAATATGCCAGAGAACTACTTGGTTCTACATCATTCTCTAAGGCCATGTAGCCCCACAAAACAACAACTCAGTTCCTCTGCATTTCAGAAGTGGGTAAGCCTGTCTAGACTGGATACTGGAGGTGAAGGGCCTGACTTCTTAGGAGAATAGAACATCTCTTTCCTATGAGTTTACATACTTCCCTGAAGGCCTTTCTCGGCACATATTTCCTATAGCAAAGTGTGATTCTTTTTCCTTCCCATCTGACTTTCCGAACTACCTCTTTAAAGGGGGGTGGAAGAATCACCAGTACACTGGCCCCATCATTGCTTCACACAAGTTTAAGTCAAGGATTTTTGTCCTCTGCTACACTTTTAGCAGTCTCTAGAAACACCTTCCATTGCCAGCACTGGAGGGATATGAATATCGGATTCGATCCATAAGAAAGAGGAGTTGTGGAATATTATGAAAGCTCAAGACAAATGCTGTAACAAGTTACCCCAGATGTTTTCTTTATAAAAATTGAAGAATCGTGATATAGATTACATTAAAATTGAAAATGCACAGAGTGAGAAATAAAATAGTAGCTGTCTTATAAAGGAAATTCAGTATTTCTTTGATTTAGAATGAAAACATATTTTATGGAGCAAAATAAAGCATACAGGAGTTTTTATTTTGTTCTCATTGTTCTTACTAGAACTATCATTAATTAGTATTATTTTCCATTCTGTGTACAGTAAAAAGTTCTGCCTTGAATCCTCTAACTGGAAATAATATTCAGTTTGATTCCTGTTCTCAACCAAAAAGAATTTGTGGGGAAATATAAATACTTCTGAAATGAATAAGACTTTTATATAATGGATTTTATAATCATATATGTACCATATACACATATACACACATAGATGTAAATATATCTGTACAGATATATTGTTACATACTACTAGCCTAACAGCTAATATTTTAGGCTTTCCGAGTCAAAATGCAAAATCATGCCTGTTTGGCATTTAAATGACTAGAGAGAAAACATTTCCACAAATTTTACAGAAATTCAAAGTATAATAGTATAGTGTAATTTTTTTGGTAATCTAGATTTACTTCTGAGAAGAATGTCATTCATTCTGAGGGGTAACATTTTGCTTAATTGGTGTTCAAAATTAGTGATCTCCTACCATCAAAGCAATTAGATATGTTCATTTCTTAATGATCTCTGTAATGAGATTTTAAATATTTCATCTTTGAAAAGCCCCTATCACACAGGTCCTGCTGAATTCTCCTGACAGTCTACAAGCATACAATTTTTTTATTAACATGAAACTCACGTAACCTAATATCATCTATTTGAAAGTGTGCCCCATCTTCCTGGTCTCTACATGGTGTCTCTTTGCAGCCCCTCTCTCCCTCTCTCCCTCATTCTCCTCATCTCTTAGACTCACCTATACTTCCTGTCTGGCTAGCAGCCAATCAGTGTTTTATTCATCAACCAATAAGAGAAACATATACAAAAGGACATCCCCCATCACATTTCATACAAATGGAGTGATGCGGTTTGTGCCCTTTGGTATCTAGATTCTTTCTCACTGAAAAATGCTTCCAATGTACTCCCATATTAAGACTTTACCTATATATTTTTCTTTACCTAAGTAATTTCCCAATGAATAAGTAACCCAAATTTGGATTAGCTCTTCTTCAGTTAATAACCATTTGGAATGCTTCCACATTTTGACTGTCAAGGAAAATGCTGTTATGAAAACTTGAATATAATATTTTGAATAGACTTGTCTTTTTAGTTATCTCGAATACTTGTGAGCAGAACTCTTGGTTCATTTGATACGTCTTTGTGTGATGGTTTAAGATGTTTCAAATGTTTTCCAGGGCTGTTACAACATAGTACATTCTCATAAGGACTATGAAGCTTCCAGTTTGTTATATCTTCATCAATTCTTGTCAATTCCTTGTCTTTGATTTGTTTAATTATAGACATCCCATTAAGTATGAAATAGCATCTCATTATTGTCTTCAGGTAAAGTTCTTTAGTGATCAATGGTCAGAAGCATCCTCTCAAAATGCCTATTGTCCAGTGTTTGTCCACTTGGAGAAAGCTCTCAAGTTAAGTTCCTTGGCCCTTTTAAAACTGGGTTGTTAATGTGTTGATGTTGATCTCTAAGAATTCTTTCCACACTATGGATGTAAAACCCACCTCAGATATATGGTTTCCAAATGGCTTTTCCAATTCTTTGAGTAACACTTTCACTTTTTCAATAGTGTATTTTAAAATACAAAGTTTTTGCTTCTAGCCTGGCATCATGACAAACACCTGCAATCCTAGTATTTGGGAGGCTGGGGCAGAAGTCAGGAACTCCAGGCTACCCCAAGATACACAGACCCTGTTAAAATCCACAGTTCTGACCAGGATCTATTTGTTAGTTTATTTTTTTCCCTTTTCCCTTAGGATTTTGATGTCCAGGAAAATACCAGGAAAGCTAGCTCAGTTAAGAATACTTGTTTTTCTTACTGAGGAAAGCTGTGAGCAAGAATGGCGGTCCTCCCCAGGGAAGCGCTCAGCAATTGGTTGTCCAGTGCCAAACGGTCAGCCTGGAAAACATACATATAAGTAACATGATGCAACTGAATGGGTTATGCTTAGTAATATATGTGTATACATACATGCAATAACAAATAGTGGAAAAGGTGGCCATGAATTTGAAGGACAGCAAGGAGTGGGTATATGGAAGGATTTTGAGAGGGGAAAGAGAAGGGAGAAATGTTATAATTAAATTATCTCAAAAATAAAATAAAATAATAAAAATACAATAATTAGAAGCTTTTTTAAAAAGAGAATAATAATAATAATAATAATAATAATAATAATAATAATAATAATAAACTGTTCAAGTGCATGTAGCTCTGGATGAGGAACAGATTGATTTCATTCTGAGCTCCTACACGGTGGTCCACAACCATCTGTAACTCCAGTTCCAGGGGATCGAATGCCTTCTTTTGTCCTTAGGCACCAGAAACACATGTGGTATACATACATGCATGCAGGTGAAACACAAATGCCCGTAAAATAAATAAATATTTTAATTGAGGATTTCTAACCTAACCCCATGAATATTTGCACCAGTGTTTCTTTCTAAGAACTCTATGTTTGGCGTCTGCACCATTTCAAGTCACTTTTTTATATATAATACGAATGAAACTCATTCTTGTACATCTGAGCACTCAGTGTGCCAGCATCATTGGTTGAAAGGATGATTCTTTCCCTATGAAATGGTTTGGGCACCTGTTTGAAAACTCGTTGGTTGTGAATAGATATGTAGCCTTACTCCTGTACCCTCCACTCTCTTCACTCTGCATTTGCTACATGGCTTTGTTTTTAATATGCGTCCTCCAATACATCCTGCTTCAGCATGGTTTTCTATTTGCAATGCAATATGAATTTTAAGTTTGGCTTGCCTGATTCTTCAAAAACAAGGAAGCAGTTTGGATAGAAATTGCATTTAAAACTTTAAAGGGCAGATGGGCATTGTGGCACACAACTTAAATCCCAGCACTTGGGAGGCAGAAGCAGGTGCATCTCTGTGAATTCGAGGACAGCCTGGTCTATGGAGTGAGTTCCAGGAGAGCCAGAGCTACATAACAATAACCTGGTTCAAAAAATAAAATAAAGATATTTAAAAAAAAACTGGCTGGGCATTGGTGGCGCACGCCGTTAATCCCAGCACTCAGGATGCAGAGGCAGGCGGATCTCTGTGAGTTCGAGACCAGACTAGTCTACAGAGAGAGAGTACCAGGATAGGCTCCAAAAGCTACACAGAGAAACCCTGTCTCAAAAAAACAAAAAACAAACAAACAAACAAACAAAAACGTTTCAAGGGACTGGCGTGCAAGCCTGACAGCCTGAGTTCAATCCCCAGGAACCACACAGCAGAAGAAGAGAATGGAATCCTGCAAGTTGTCTTCTGACCTCTGCAGACACACCATGGCACAAGTGCACACTCAAGCACAAGCACACCCACACATACACATAAAGAAGAACCAAAATTGTTTTGATTACTTTTTTACATCTCTGTGATAAAAATACTCAAAAGAAACAACTTCAGTTGTTTTGCCTGGATTCATCGGGATAATGATCCCTTTAATGAGATAATGTACTTTTCCTTCCTAGAAAGCCTCCCCTGGTACAGTCAGTCACTATGTAACCATAGCTCTGCCACTGAATTAACCCTGACCACTTTTCTGAATTGCTTTTCCTTTCTTTTTTTAAAGCTCTTGCTTTTGGGTGCCAGCCAGAGCCTAAGTAGGCTTGCACTGTTTCTCTGAAGCTCTCCTCCCTGCCATGTGGCTGCTTAAAAATGGCATGGCTCTCTCTTCCTTGTCTTTATCTCCCTACCAAAAATGACAGCTTGACTGCCTTGTGGTTTTCCTTTTAAAGTCTAATAAAACTGTCTCCAAGCTTACTTCTGAGCTTGTAATTAAATTCTTTTATTAATGAGACAAAATCTCCAAGAGAGGACCCAGTCTCCTGGATAACAGATGGCACCCTATGTGCGACTCCCCAGTTTTCCAATAACAAGAGTCAAAGGTTGATTGGTTGGTTGGTTTTGGAGAGGAACTGACATGAGATTGCCTTACAGAATGATCATTATCAGGAGGGGATGCTCCTTATGAGCACGGAGAAAGGGCGTGAGTGGTCCTTGAAGTACCGGAGCATTAGAAGAGGTACAGCATCGGACCAGATACAGTCTAGAGAGAGGAAGTCTTTCCTCCCAAATTCAGAAAGAAGCTAAGTTATTAGAAATAAGGCCTGGTTTTGGTTTTCATCTTTCTGAGTCTGGGCTACCTCACCCAGGATGGTTTTTCTAGGTCTGTCCATTTGCCTGAAAATTTCATGAGGTCATCATTTTTTACAGCTGAGTAGTACTCCATTGTGTAAATGTGCCACATTTTCCTTATCCATTCTTCAGCTGAGAGGCACCTAAGTTGTTTCCAAGTTCTATCTATTATGAATAATGCTGCTATGAACATTGTTGAACAAGTGTCCTTGTGGTATGATTGAACATCCTTTGGGTAAATGCCCAAAAGTGGTATCGCTGGGTCTTTTTTTTTTAAGATTTTATTTATTATATATACAAAATCCTGGTTCCATGTTTATCTGCACACCAGAAGAGGGCACCAGATCTCATAACGGATGGTTGTGAGCCACCATGTGGTTGCTGGGAATTGAACTCAGGACCTCTGGAAGAGCAGTCGGTACTCTTAACCTCTGAGCCATCTCTCCAGCCCCTGTCACTGGGTCTTAAGGTAGATTGATTCCCAATTTTCTTAGAAACTACCATACTGATTTCCAAAGTGGCTAGACAAGCTTGCACTCATACCAGCAGTGGAGGAGTGTTCCTTCACTCATAAGTGGATATTAGATGTAAGGCAAAGAATAACCAGACTACAATCCACAGCTCCAGAGAAGCTAGGTAACAAGGAGGACCCTAAGATGGACACATGGATCACCCTGGGAAGGGAAATTAGATGAGGTGTACTGGGTAAGCTGGGAATAGGGGAAAGGTAAGGGAGAAGAGGGAGGATGAGAACATGAGGGAAGGGCATGGTGGAAAGGCGGAAGGATGCAATGGAAAAGTAATAGAGCTACTTTTTGTTTTCTCCCCATTTTTATTTAAATTAGAAACAAGATCATTTTACATGTCAATCTCAGTTCCCTCTGCCTTCCCTCCTCCCCTGTACCCCCCAACTAACACCCTACCTATCCTATACCCTTTCTGCTTCCCAGGGAGGGTGAGGCCTTCCATAGGGGGGTCTTCAGAGTCTGTCATATCCTTTGGGATAGGGCCTAGGCCCTCCCCTGTGTGTCTAGGATGAGGGAGTATCCCTCTATGTGGAATGGGCTCCCAAAGTCCATTCCTATGCTAGGGAATAAGTACTGATCTACTTCAAGAGGCCCCATAGATTTCTGGGACACCCACGTTCATAGAGTCTGGATCAGTCCCATGCTGGTTTCCCAGCTATCAGTCTGGGAACCAAGAATTTCCCCTTGTTCAGGTCAGCTGTTTCTGTGTGTTTCACCAGCCTGGTCTTGACACTTTTGCTCATCACCCCTCCTTCTCTGCAACTGGATTCCAGTTCAGTTCAGTGTTTAGCTGTGGGTATCTGCTTCCACTTCATAAAAGAGATATCTTAACAGAGAGAGCCACTATGGGGTTAGGGAGAAACCTGGTGCTAGGGAAATTCCCAAGACTCCACAAGAATGATCCCAGGTGAGACTCCTGGCAATAATAGAGAGGATGCCCGAACTGGCCTTTCCCTGTATTCAGTTTGGTGACTACCCTAATTGTCATCATAGAACCTTCATCCAGTAACTGATTGAATTTGATTATTTATAAGGTAATTGATTATAAACTTGTATGTTTTAATTGTTTTTAATAAACTAATATAGCTTCATAAGATTAGGACTTGCAGCTTTATACTGTTAACTTTGAGCATAGCATTCCACCATAGTGAATGGACTCCAACAAGCTAGCTCATGTGCCAGGTTTGTATCATGGTCCTACTACCAGGGCCCCACAAGCTCCTTGGGTCATGATGTTTCATCACAACAATAGTAACCCTAACTAAGACACAGATCAATAGAGTCCTTCCTGTTCTTATTTTTATGAAATGATTTATCATTGAAAATTTTTGATTTATGGAATGGGAAGGCTTATGCAGGGTGGGATTAGGGGGCTAAGCATAGCAAAGGGTCTATGAAAAAGCCACATACAAACCCAGTGTTTTGCAACCCAATTTAAGAAAGAAAGGTGGGTCTTGAGGTAAATGGATTCCCATTTTCCTGAGAAACTACCATACTGATTTCCAAAGTGACTGTACAAGTCTGCATTCCCACCAATAATGGAAGAGTGTTCTCCTTTCTCCACATCATCTCCAACATAAGCTGACATTGGTGTTTTTGATTTTAGCCATTCTGACAGGTGTAAGATGGTATCTCAGATTTGTTTTGATTTGCATTTCCCTGATGGCTAAGGATGTTGAGCAATAACTTAAGTGCTTTTCAGTCATTTGAGATTCCTCTGTTGAGAATTCTCTATGTAGATCTGTACCCCATTTTTAATTGAGTTATTTGGTGTTTTGGTGACTAGCTTCTTGAATTCTTTGTATATTTTAGAGATCAGCCCTCTGTCACATGTGGGGTTGGTGAATATCTTTTCCCATTCTGTAGGCCGCCATTTTGTCTTGTTGGGGAAACCCACAGAAACAGCTGACCTGAGCAAGTGGGAGCCCATGGGCTCCAGATTGACAGCTAAGGAATCTGCATAAGACTGAACCAGGCCCCCTGAAAGTGGGTATCAGTTGAGGGGCTTGGGCAGTCTGTGGGGCTGCTGGCAGTGAAACCAGTATTTATCCTAGTGCGTGAATGGGCTTTTTGAGCCCATTCCCTGTGGAGGGATACTTTCTCAGCCTAGACACAGTCGGGAGGGCCTCAGTCCTGCCCCAAATGATGTGACAGACTTTGATGATCCCCCAAGGGAGTCCTCATCCTTCCTGAGGCGTGGATGGGGGTGGAGGTGGGATGGGGAGATGGT